AATCATTTGAGTGGTGATAGTGCACACACATATTATCTTTTGACACGTGAACAGTAAATTTTATGGGGTCGCTTAGCATTAGAAAAGAACTTGGATCCACATGAGGTGACTTATCAGCATTTTTTGGTTTTGCCTGAACTATCCCTTACTTATTCCTTTACTTCACATGACCCTTCAAATCTCACCTCTTTCGTGAAATGTATCTTATTTTTAGAAAGACTATGGTAGGCTGTGTTGACTTTTACAAGCTCCAATTTGTCTTTCTCCTGTTTGTCTTTCTAGCACTTACAATCCAATTGCCAAAAAAATAATGCTTCCTACCTAAATTGGTTTCATAGGCATGTGTGTGGGAGAGGAGAAAGAGCAGCAGATGACAGATGGCTTTGTGGAAACACAGGAACAATCAGAGTGGAGTAGATCAGAAATGCTCAAGGAACCAACTAAAGTGAAGCCTTTCAGTGAAACTGAATTTTGCAGAAAATGCTATCATAGTCTCTCTCACCCTCTTCTTTGTTTACAGCCCTATAATTTTCTGCTGATAATTTATAGGTCTATATATAAACAGCATTCAACACTAATTTAAAAAAAGTTGTGGCTGTGCATTGCTGCCTTGGCATGACTGAAGATCAATTCTTGCACAAACCCTGGAGGCACCATGCTACCATTTGATATTTGGGGTTATGATTACCCTTCAATCCTGAATCCCAATAGCTATCTTTAAGATATTAGGGCTCTGAATTGTCTTTAATACATGGGATGTTTAATTATCACACGATGGCTTTCTTTAAATGCTACAGTGTTCAGGTTGCTTGTGGTTTCTACGTTCCTCTGGATTGACGAAGTAATGAAACATGGGGATAGGAAGAAAAAGAGAAAGAATGAAGAAGAGGGAGAGAGGGTTGAAAGGAAGGAAGAAAAGGAGAGGCAAGGCAAGAAAAAGATTAAGACTGGAAAGGAAGAAGAGAGAGGGTGAGCTAGAATATTCACAAATGCACAAACATGTGCTTAACCCATGAACAGCCCCTTGGGAGCACCTGTTCTGTACTTTTCAGGATGACTGTTGTTAGCGATAATGACCACAGAGGTTTCTGCCATCTCATCAGGCAGCTCGAAGATAAACAGAAGCACTCAAAATATCATATTATGATAGAGTAGAGAGATTTGTACTCTTGTGTTTTAATCTCTTCTGGGAACATAAAATAAACAATAACAACTAAAATTCCCACTCGCCAAAGGAAAACAACGGAGTTTACTTACACAAGTGATCAGGTCCTTTTAAGACGAGGCGAATATGTCTACTTCCATAGGGAATAGCAACCACAGTATCGTCCACTAGAGAGAAGCAAAGCAAAGTCTTAAAAGCACATCATTTGACACAAAATCATTGACTGCCTCCCCTATAAAGGCACTGACCGACATACCTAAAAAAAAATGATAACTTTATAAAGTGTTTAAAATGTAAAAGTCAATGTTTGAGAATCAAAATTTTGACTTTCTTTAAAATAAAATATGCCAGAGATACTAGTCCATAGGGGTATTTGGCCTTTTTTAAAAATATGAATTTTGATATATTAAATAATGGATTTGCAAGTTTTAGTTTGATTTTAAAGTCTGGTCTTATACTATGACATTTCTCTAGATTAGAGTACTTGTGTTGAATTAAACAATAAAAATAAATTCTAATGTTCAAATGATGAATTTATTATATCAAAATCTGGACTTCTCTCTAGCAGAGTACCTTGGATGAGTAGGGCAGATAAGAGGAGGGGAAAATATATTTGTTGTATGCTTTGAACCCCTCAAGAAGAGAAATCATGCTTTCTAGTTCTTGAATATCCTTCACACTATGTACCCCTAATACTACATATAGTGAGTGCCCATAAATGTTTATTAATATTCCTCCACACACACCTCCCTCTGTTTCAAAATATTTAAAAAATTCTTATTCACAGATCATTTTATAATGGATTTCTTTTTACTCTACTTGCAAATTGGGCTTAAATTTATAAGAAGCAGACATTAAAAAAAATTAGAGGTATATCACATATACTCCAAATACATCGCAGGCATTCTTATTCAGAACTCCATTTGTGACAATAATGCCTTATATTTGCATGGCACTGCAGAGTTTCTTTCACCTAAATTATACTATTTACTCCCTCACCTAAAACTTGTGACATCAACAAAGAGTATTTTACAATGAAAAAATGAAGCCTCTGAGAAGTATCATGCATAGTCCAAGGTCAAAGGGATAGGAGGGCACTCAAGAAGATTAAGAGAAAGGCAGAATTTTTAAAAGACTCATCAGCATATTTAGAAGCTCTGTGGGATTCTTTGTTCATACATATCTTTCCAGTAGTACACATTATTATCCTGCTATTGGAAGAATTTAGTTTCAATAAAAGAATCCCCAAAGTTACACAATTTCTCTGAACCTGAACATTATCATCCTATCTTTAGGAGAATTTAGTTTATACAAGTAAATCTCAGAAGTTACCTGACTTCTCTGATCCCCAGTTTCCTCGTTTGGAAAACAAGGAAAACAATATTTACCTCATAATACTGTTGTGAATAGATACAAATATAGATATGGGTATAGTTTTATAGATCTGTGGATCTATAAAACTGGAACTCAGGAGGTATTCTGTAAATATCATTTTCCTCCCTCTATTCCAAATCTCTTTAAGGACAGAGACGAAAAACTGTTTATTTTTATTATTTTTAAACTCTCCAAGGCTCCTAGCACTACCTGTTCAATGAGAAAGGAGAAATCATATGTTCCCAGTTTTTTCCCCAAAGAGGTTACATTTACCAAGTTCTCTAGAATCCTGAATATTCTACTCATGCTACAACCTTACAGTTGTTTCTAATGTCATACATTGTTAAAGAAAAGGCTGAATTCCAGAGAGCTGAGAGTTTGTGGCACAGGAGAACAGACAATGAAAGAGCAATACAGAAAAGGAACAACAACAAAAAGTTAAGGCTGGGCCCATGGGGCTTTAAATACCTTGCATAAAGAAATGACTTTTTAAGTTTGCAAAAGAAACTCAAAGCGGTTAAAACAATGGGATTTCTAGAAATAGAAAGTCTTTGTTTATTCCCAGGTCAAATAAAGTGCAAGTAAAAAAGAAGCTTTCTGCTCCACTCTGCCATGCTCAGCAGCCGCCTTCTGACCCACACACCACTAGTGCAGCCTCCCTCTTGTTCTGCTGAGAACTGACTCACATTCCACAGGCTGGGCATTCATACCCTCGCTTTCAGCTGATGCAGTAACATTTGTATGCTCCCCAAAGAAGAGAGGGAAGAAACCTAGAAAGTTGTTGAGGGGAAGAGAGTAGCTGGAGAAAGTAGACCAGGCAAAAGTAGAACATCTTCTGATGCCTCTCTGGACTCACCCAGTCAAAGAGAAATGGAGCAACTGAGGCTGATGCAAACTTGAGCAGTTGGCAGCACACAGCACAGAGGTAGGAAGAGTCACAGCCTATTCTATTGTTCTGAAAAGGCCTGATGGATTCCTGGCAGGTGTTTAGGCAATAAGCAAATCCATTACTTTATTCCACAAATAAAGTGTTAGGCTCCATGCTAGGTACTAGGGATTCAGTGACAAAGAAGACAAACAAAGCGCTAGTCCTACAAGATGGTCCTTGAAAAAGGGACCTAAGACAAAATGTGTGGGGGAATACTACATACTATATCCCATTGATGGAAATTTCCAAAGCACATTGGTTAATTTCTTAGGAGCTCTGAACCAAAGAAACCCATTTCACTGTATTTAACTCAATGGACACCCAATGTGTTTATCTAGGGAAACTTTTTCATCTGTATCACTTGTTAACATCAGCTGACAGATATCAGAAAATATACTTCAAGGAATGGTGCTCTTAATTTGACAAAAAGCAAAATAGAAAAAAAATTTTATTTTCTGCATGTTTATAAAAGCCATTCTTTCAGTTGTATATTTATTAATAATTGTTTCATTTGCTGATAAATTCTCAGTGATTTGGGACAGGTTGGGGGATTCTTCTGTTGGCACCTATTACAGTGTTGTGCACAGAGAGGTGTTTAAGATATCCCAGAATGTGAAAGCAATCTGGTTGCAACACCTGCCTCCTCAGTGAATAATGCGATTGGTATGGCTGGCAAGGCAGGTGGCCACATCCTCTCCCACCGCGCTATGCATTCCTCCGGTGCCCTTTCCTACAAAGACACACTGTTCTATGATCAAGTGCATCTGTCCTAATCTATTCCGGCTTTGTTGACGGAACCATAATGCCAGTCTTCAGGACATATTTCTAGGTTATTAATCAACAATTCTAAAAGAACTGCTTCAGAGATCAGATATCCCTTTTCTCAGTTAAATGGACAAGCTTTCCATGGAAATCATAAATTCTATCATTTCACATATGTAAATTGCAAATGCCCTGTCTCAAGAAAATTGTTTCCAAGGATTTTACCTAAAAGATTTCCTTAAAAAGTTCACATCAACATGTATCTTCTACAACTTTCTACATAGAACATTTTATATTCATTTTTAAATCTTGCCATATGTGGATGTCCTGCATGATTCACTGCTGTATTAGAGAAAGGTGATAATGATAATATTTCAAAAAGACAGACTTTTTTATTCTGTTATCTGAGTTTATCTTATTTTTAGTTCTGCTGATAAGTTCATGTTTTTAAAGATTCTTCCCTCTAAGCCTATGGGGCCGATACTTAATTTAATTTCAATTTTTTAAAAATGAAAGAGTTCATTGTTTTAGTACAGTTGGGTACATATAAAAATAATCTGCCAATCTTGAGGAGGTTTTAATGGCATATTTTAAATCTTCATGTCAATTTTATTACTCTTAACATATATCCAATAACATAAGGAGAAGCCGAGCATTTGAGTCTTCCAATCACTACCCCTCCCTGCCAGTTTATCTGTAATTGCAAAGAGGAGGATGTATACTGGATGGGCTAACAAGGTGCTACCATCCTCAGCTGGGGAACTTCATTGAGGAACTTCTAGTTGCCTAGGCCAAAAACTCTGGAGCCATCCTTGACTTCATTTTTATGTCTAATCTGTTAAAATGGCCTATTGTCAAAATACCCTGTTTCACTGAATCTAAGAGGAATAATTTTTCATATTTTAACATAAATGAAATTGGAGTGTATCTCACAATCAATAGTGTCTTACATTCTCTCTCACCCAGGCAGTAATCCTGCCATAGCTATATTTGTCTGCAAAGGTGTTAACATCAACACACCACTGTCAAACTTACAAAATGGGTGTCAGCATTTTGGAAAAAAATTCCAAGACATAGTGGAGCATGTTCATTTAATCTCTAGGAATCAAATGGTTATGGAGGTTGTAGGAAGATGAAGAATCAGAGATGTTTAATAACAGTCCCATAGAGGGAGTGAAAAGCTGGCTAGGTATACATAATTGCAAAGTTGAATTAAGAGCCTAGCACCAACACTTTGCTTCTGGCCAAAATGAAGTAACAGTGACCAGATTTAACATCTTGCCTAAAATAACCAGAAAGTCAGATAAAATTATGTATTATAAAACCATGATTTTTTTTTAGATATTGGACACCAGGCAAAGAAGGGCAGCAATTCCTGAGAGTCAGAAAACAAATGAAGTAAGGCTTAATATTGACCCAGCTTACTGCCTTGTAAGAGTTTCTGGGCTACAGCTTTAGAAGTGGGAACTCTGGTAGAGCTTACCTGAATTGAGGAGACAAAGCAAAATCCAAGGAGACCAAAGCAGTTAGAATTTGTGGGGCAAAGTACCAGACGGGAGAGAGCTGTATAGAAAGACAACTCTGGAGATCTAAGAGGGTCCCCTTTAAGTACCCGACTGCATAATGATCAATACATGAATATGAGGAGACTACCTGGTCTGCAGAAGGAACCACATAAAAGAATTACAGAGTAGAGTACATGGAGCTCATACATGGTGGAGAATAGTATCTTATCCCACTAGCCAGACTGGAAAACTTCAAAAGTCATGGAACATTGAGTAGAGTGTTCAGAAATGTCTTGCCTCAGCAGAAGGGCACAATTAGCTCTAGACCAAACATGGCTTTGGTCCTATCTACCAAATTTTAAGACACAAAAGGATCTAACTGATTTAAAGTAACTTAACTGCTCCCAGAACAAAACTCAAGATTATTTATAGGAATACAAAAGTATCTAGTACCCGACAAAGTAAAATTTGCAATGTCTGGCATCCAGTCAAAAATTACTAGACATGCATAGAAACCAAAAAATACAGCCCATATTGAAGTGAAAAAGCAATCAATCAAAATACATAGTGGACATTAAAATAGTTACTATAACAGTAT